GATGAACCCACATTGACCACATCGCCATCAGTTACCGCTAGAGGGGGTCGATTTAAGACTGTCGCTTTCACTGGTCACTGTGGATACGGACTACGCTTTGTTACTAGCCAAAATCTCCTTATACCTTTTTGACAACCGCAATAAAGCCACCGAAAACGGATGCTAAAGATACTATCAACGATAGCCGCAAATCGGCCTTCAAAGCAGAGCTCTCTGATCGCCTATTAATTCAACCATTAACCGAAGGACTCAATGAACAATGGAAGCAAATCAAGGAAGTTATGCAAATATCGATAAAAACGACGACAATTTCTTGCGCACTAAGGATAGATCTCATCCGCCTCGGATACCCGCAGAACCCCTCCATATATGACACAGCACACAAATCCGTAAAAGGCGAGCACATGAACAGTCTGGAGAATGACCGCGAGAAGTGCTGATGAGAAAGTGTACAGAGATTTAGAAGGATGAGGCTATCGGTGTTAGTCGCAATCTTTTCCGTTTTCTTAGGAATGCGGGCTCCAGAAAAGTAGGCTCGAGTGAGGAGACCAAGGAATCCGATGACAAACTGATTCAGAATCAACAATGATGTCTTGAACGAGGGGCTGAACACATCGAGGTTCAGTTCAACTGGCCTCAACGACATCAGGCCTGCCAACCCCCACCTCGACTGGGCAAATGCTCCCAGTGGATATCGGTCTTTTATCAGAAATGAAGATCTCTAGGGGGAAAAGTTATCTCAAAGTATATAAGACCTGCGGTTCGAACGGGCTGTTTGCATCGGTTTTCAAGGATGGAGGGTCAGCCTTTGTCTTGAAGTTGATGGAACTTCCGAGTTCATTATGAGATAACGAACAGATTCCAACTGAATGTTGCGTCAGCCATCTTACTGTGTTACAAGGAAGGTGAGAAAAAGAAAAAGGAATTAGCTCGCTCAATATTGTTTCTAAACTCCTCGCTAGTAATACACTCCGTAGACTGTCTGCCGCACGTCAACGGCGCATGCACGACAACAAGGCTGGTTGAAGACCTGTTCCAGGTTGTGTACACCATACTTTGACCCTTCGCCAAATTTTAGAATGCCGACTTTCTTTTCGCAGACACAATATCTCATTCATTCTCGATTTGAAAGCGTCCGTCGACTCAGTCGACCGCTCTCAAGTCAAGCGCTGCCTTTCCCCGAAGTATATGCTCCGGAAGTTTATTTCAAAAGAACGATCCTTTCACACTACTAGTCGAAACCGAGTCGACCTTAGGGTACATTTTCGCCCTAGTTCACCATGGGAAGCGGCTGTGGACATGGTTTTGGAAACAGTCCTGCCCATGTAGGAGGAAAGTGGCATCGAGTTGCTTTTGAGTGGTAGACTGTCTGATCTGGAGCATGCGGACGACATTGTGCTGCTAAGTGAAGATCTAGGTCAGTTGCAAGCTTTTCTGGATAGCTTGAGTGCCAGCGTATCCATGTTTGGTATACGTTTTGATCCTTCAAATATTGCTACAGGACAGGGTTGTTCCAGCACCCAGCCTCACTCTAAACAGGAAAGTATTAGATCAAATCAACAAGTTTGATCATTTGGGCGACTCCATCTCACCCGAAGGACGCATCAGGGGTGGTGATGGCTCGGTGGTAACATCGAAATATCACCCAGGAGAACGTGTATTCGAATGCCATCACACACGCCTGACTTTCCATTGTGTGTTGTATGGCAGGCCTTTGATTAGCCGCCTCCCCCTTCCTGAAAATCGTATCATTGTATATTCAATAAGAGGAAGTTCGCCATCGCCACATTTGGTTGTCTGTGAATTGTCGAGTATATGCTGCACCAATTGCGCCGCTGTTGCTACGCAGCGCCGAAACTTGGGCATTACGAAACGCTTCGTTGCACGAATATGGTGGGGTAACCGGACAAGTAATGCTGAATTGAGACGGAGGATTTTATGTGGTCGTGGTCACTCACACGAGCAAGTAGTCGACCTCCACAGACTGCGCTAGTTTGGGCATGTGTTACGCACGGTTACCACAGCGCGCGATGTATGCCGAAGCAGGTAGTGGTGGGTGAAAAAAGTAGAGTGATGAAACTAAGACCGGGTATGAGGGTGTTAAAACTCATACCAGTAGACTCGGTCATATAGGTTACGTTAGGGTCCCTGGGTTAGGACCTCAGGATGATTATAATCAATATTTAGATACACTGAGTGACATGGTTCTCTGTTGTATACAATGGTGCTAGTGCATTTTCTCTATTTCTCTGCAACCATAAACTAATGAAATTCTCCATTTTCTCTCCAATACTGCTTTTAACGTTCAAGTCTTCCTTCTACACTTGCATCCATATAGGCAATTAAAAAAAGCAACCCAACCCGGCGCACGAAAGTGCATGGCTAACAGTTGTACAAACTGAAAGTAAAGCACGATCAGAATCACTTTCAAGGTCAAATCGAGGTGAAGGCAACTGGAGTGATTTGACTAGCTATTTTCTGTGCACAGTAGTAGGTTCAATATTATAATTGCTACCGTTTCCACTATTGCTAATTGACTAACCGACATTCCAACGTAGTTTGTATTTTAAACAGAGATATAACCGCAAATACCTGAAGACGAAGTTACGAAAATACAATATAATGCAGTTAATTGGATGTCACCAATTTCAAGCAGGGAATGACATTCAGATGTGCGCTTACCCAGTGATTAGACAATTTCCAGAATACAGGAGCTTCTCACCTTTTCATGTAGTTGATCTCCCCATATATGCTTACAGGCTTCCCATACGTTGTAGCTGTCAGATACACAGGCAAAAGTGCCCGTTTTGTAAATGTCCAATAGATGATGATATGCATCTACTTCATGCGTCTCTCCCCATATGGTCATTGTACTGTCAAACACGGAGGGAAACCACATGACGAATGGATGTATGAACGATTGCGTGACCAAAATAAATCACATGACAACAGTAAATCTCGAATGCGTTTAGAGGGAACAGTAGCTCCAGCTAGTGAGCTCCCTCGACGCGTCTTTAGCAGCAAAGAGAACGTGTAAAACAATGATGAACCTTACTCGTGCGATCAATCATTCAGTATTTACCTCGTGTTTGGGCGCTCGTACACACAAGTAAGCACGCATAAAATGTTTTCGTGCAACCCCAGTGCAGCATTTCGTCCCTAATTTTCAGAGCCGTTCTACTGTCCGTGATTAATTTGCACCGGCTTGGATACTCATGAATGCTAGACTGAGACTGTGAAGAACACATGCCGAATTGCGATAGTGGAGGTCATCATACATTTTAAAACCCATCAAATGTGTTCTCTTCTTCTTCAGATACAAGCAATCGACGATCCAACCGAAATAAAACAGCGTGCCAAACCCTTTAGTTGAAAATCTGCGTTGTACAACAGGATGTTCAAGAAGTTCGCATGACATTGCTCTATGACGTTTTCCCCGTCGGTTTCGCAACACATAACAAGCTACCTCGATTACTCCACATAGAGACTGAAAATCAAAATGTTGAGGGACAAGAGGGCTATACACTTCATGACTAGATAAGACACCAATCTATTGATTAGTGTCTTATCTAGTTATGAAAATTTCCGTAAAATCGGACTACTTGTTTAGCATTTGTCTGCTTAAGATGCACACAGTGTCCACGTGACCTTCATTTACGCATGAGAATCCGGAACATCATGCTGGTTTCTCCAGGTAACTAGAAAATACATCAGGACATTGGTATTTGGATATTGATGTCTGGCTTTGTACTATTACACCTTGACCTCGGGAAGTTGAGGCCNTTGAGGCCGGTGACAAAACTGGGTGCTCAAACTTCATACAATGCACACTGATTAGGACACGTCCCACACCGCATACCGCTGAATGCAATCGTCCCTGGAAAGGGTGGTGTCCAGAAGATTAACTGCATTGCATTAACTTCGAAGATTATGCACATTCGAATATCGGTAGGCTCGCGTTTACTAAACTATCGATAAACCAAATCAGTAAGAACAGTGATTACATCCTCGTTGTGGGCGGTGGTGGCCAAGATTACCAACTAGTGACCTGCGTGTCCCGGATTCAAACCGCTCCACTGCCGTCCACCTTCCCTATATCTGTATTTTCCCCAGGCAGCCTTTGGATGGCCGCAGCCCCCTTCCTGAAAGTTGATTGTACATTTGTATATTCAATAAATAGAAAAAAGGAAGTAAAAAGACATTTTTTTAAATTTATATTGTATGATGGGTAAAAGGAGTGACCGAAATCCGGGTGAATGAATGAGGACAACGGGAAAATAACCAGGTGTAAATGAGCAGTGACCTCACTTGGTAAAATACATTGCGTAAAGTTGGACTGTTTACTGTTAGAAAAATAATAACAGAAATACAAGTGATAAACAGAGAATCTCTGAGTAAAACTACGCAATCCTATTACGAGAACTGAGGTAAATTGATTGATTAAGTTAAACAGACGTTCAATTCCGAAATGTTTCAGTTTGTGAGAAGAAAATGGTATTCGTTTTGATTTCTCAGTGAAAAGATAGCAGAGAAAGAATAGCGTGCTTTTGTGTCATGCAATTGATAAAAATAGTAATGTAAAACATCCATTTCCTTTATCCATTTAATTAACACAAGAAAACATATGTGGGCAGAATTGATAGTAGCCATCAATTTCGCATGCTTTCATTCAGCTGTAAACGCACATTTATATGATCATGTAAAACGAAGAAACAGAAGAGTTGAAATGAGTCATTTGAACAAGGTGGTCGATAAGTGAGTTGCGTGATTTGTGGTTGGTTAGGGGTTGAGGTCAAGTTAGATGACAATATTCGATGAAATGGTGAACTGGTCCGAACGATGTGATGAGTGCGGTGAAGGAAGGGGGAGGGAAGGTCATGTCACACTACGGTAGGGTGGTAACAAGTGTGACATCATCACTACCACGGCAACAACAGTTGCATCACAAATGGATTTTGAACACATAATTGTGGTTTCGAGCGATGAATAATTATCGCTTCGAAAATTCGCGAAACCCGTGAACTTCGAGGCCTCGCAATGTCTCTAAACGCTTTAGTTGCATCTACATGGAATATAACAGGTGACGGGCAACTGCACTAGATGGCAGTCTCCCTCCGCGAAAGCTAAGGTATTTCGGAATATGTTCACACATTCTGGTTCATAAACGACGTTCCGTCCTTCTGATGTACCGCTGACCGCGGGTACATTGAAATGAATAGATACAGTTGGAGGTAACGCTAACGCTAACGATCCGGATTAGTGCGAGCGAGACAACAAAACGTTATCATCGAAGAGATACAATCGCTTGAAAAGCAACACCACCCAGCGCACAGAAAACATGTGGAACACTCAAAAGAATATAAAAAATCTAGAAGTTGACGCTGAGCCTTGCCGAAAATGTCAAGTGATAGATAGCTCCGTCCGTCAGACATAACAGTGGTTACAACAATAGCGAAGTTTAACTTTATCCAGGATCGGTTTTCTTCAGCTGTACATGTGCACAGCTAATAGATCGAAGGTGAAATCGGACTCATTCACAATCAATGGAAAATGGCGGAATGGTTGACAAAAGATATAACACTGCTTCAGCCAAATAACACGTATTCGTCATATGCTATACAGCCCCATAATATATATATATATATATTTGATATAAACAATGGTCTGCAGTAAGTGAAAAACGCTCACCTATGTTCTGTAGCAGGAATGCTAAACCCAGCCATTGGACACTTGTAGAACTCTCGAGCTGCAAGCAACGCGGCCAAGGTATCCGTTCCGCGAAAATTGACCAAGTGGGACAAACCACCAACAGCTGCAGACTTTGGAAGGATAAAGAAAAACCACGGGTATGAATGATAACAATGAGCCCATTTTACGAGTAGCGTCAGTTGAGCAACTGAACGGTAATGAAGTCCTCATACAAGTAGAAAAACCAAACAGCTTAGTGAATAGTTACGTTTAGTGGGTTTTTTTAGAGCTATCGTCCTCTGCATCGGCAAAAGAAATGTTGCGAAGTAACATTATTGATCGAAATAGATGGATATCACAGGTAAAGTGACATTGTCAAGGATCTGAGTGCTGCGATCAGCGACCAGAATAAACGTGCATTTCAAATTTGGTGTTGCATTCAAACCCAATGCATAATCTTCTTCCAGATTCGGTTCATCGAAAATATTGTTTTGAATGAAGGCGCCAAACAATTACGAAAAACAGGCAAAGCTTTCCAAAGGTTTTCCCGAGGTTCCACTGAAGATATTGCAGAGCGTGGATAAGAAATATATGCGAGTAACACTTCCAGCTCGGAGAACACACCAACATCCGTATTCTGAGCTACAATCATTCCGCATTATATCCAACTGGCCCCATCGAAATCAGGCCTATCAACCCCCTCCTTGACTGCGCAAATACTCCCGGTGGATATCGATCCTCCAGCTGACATGGAGGTTTCCAGTAAAATAATTCATTTCAAAATGTATAAGGCCTGCGGCTCGAACGGGCTGTGACCATCGCTTTATAAGGATGGAGAGTCAGCCTTTGACTTGGAGTTGATGAAACTCCTGAGGTCAGTAAAGGATAGTGTACAGCTGTACAACTGAATGTTGTGTCAGTCATTTTACCGAGTTACCGCAGAGGTGAGAAATCCTCTTGTGAAAAAGAAAAAGGAATTAGCTCGCCGAATATTATCTACAAACTTCTCAATGGTATACACATGAAAACACGGCTAGTTGCAGACCAGTTCGAGGTTATGTACAAGATACTTTCACCCTTCACCAGATTGTGGAGCACCTGTATTCTTTCCGTAGGCCCACCATATCTGTCTTCCTCGATCTTAAAGCGGTCTTCTGGTTTATATCTGGTATCTTTCCCAGTTAAAGTGGACTACGTGAATTTATCAAGCAACTTTGCAAATCTGCACTTGCTGTTTACGTCAGTCCATTTTGCGTACCCTTATCCAGTGTACCCAGGTAGTGAAATGCTTCGATGTAGAGGCTGAGAGCAGCGAATACGAGTTACTTTGCTTACCTCGATCGAAGAAACACCTCGGAACCCGAAATCATGCAGCTTGAATCCGAGATCTTCGAGGCTCCCACAGGTGGACATAAGATATTCCGCGATCAGTTGTTTCATCGCGCGGGAGTTTGTGGCAACAGTTATGGGGTACCATACTTGTACCAGGATTGTCTAAAACGAATGAACGGGAATCAGCATTTAACGGGTCTACCTCAACGTAAGTTGTCAACCAGAAGCACTTCGGGTCGGTGTTTTCTACTGTGAAGAGCACGTTTCTGTTGGGTATAACCGATCCTTCAGGTACTGCTTTGATTCTAATCGGAAGATGTCCATCATGATTCTGACAGTAATAAGTTATTCTGCAACGGAACAAGGTGCACCTCGACAATGTAGCGCCAACCGCTTTCATTGAATAGATCGCGTCCGAAATGGGAGTTTAAAATTTCTTTTGCTTGGTGAATTTTCTCCAGAGTTACAACTGGCCCTGCCAATGTTCGCTTCAAAATGTACTGCAGACCAAAAAACACGACTTCGTCAAATTTCCCCCCTCGGCATTCAAAATATGCGTACACTTGCTCTGTCCCAGGTGGATATTGTTGATAATGAGTAACCTGCAGCAATAAGCCCAAGCATTGGTAACTTACTTTGTAGGAATCGCAAAGCAAAATTATATTGTCGAGGTATTCACAGGCGGCTAGAGACATCCTTTCCGCAAATGTCAACTTGACTCTGTAATTAACGAGAGACCATTATGATATTCAAATAAAAATGCATTTTAAATTTTCTTTGGCAGGTAGAAAGTGCTACGTCTTTGAGGATAAGATTACGAAAGAAGCGTCAGATTCGAAACAATATTGGGGTGGGGAAGAAACGAACAATGGAAGATTTTCCAAAAACATTTTGTGTGAAACTTGGGTAAAAGCAATGTCAGAAGCCTTTTTCTGTAGCAAGAGAGAGCAGCAAAATGAGCTAATAAATCAGGGTACGGAAAAGGGTGGAACTCATTCTGATGATATGCGTACATTTGCTCTGTCCCAAGTGGATATTGTTGATAATTAACTCATTCTGATGATTACCAACTTTTTTATTCGTTGATTTTCTATTTTCATCCTGACACTGATTTGATCATTATAATCTTTTCTTCATCCCTTCGTTGAAATGGGCAGTCATGAGACAGAAACCAAAACCAGCACACGAAATTGCATAGTTGTGGTTGCACAACTGAAACGCCTGAGTCTGAACCCGGATGAGTGAAATATAATTCGCTTTTCCTTCACTACTTCTGTATTCTCACTCCCCACCAGCACAGAAGGGTACTTTTTAACTTTGTGACCGCCGCAAAAGGAGACTGCACCGTGATGTGATGTGATGCCACCTTTACGAACAAACGAGCTAGAGGATGTCCCTTATTATGCTAAAAGATTTTATCATGCCTGAAAGATCAGAGGATAAAAATCAGATGAAGTTCAATCTTCTAGTTCTTGAGGTTAGGGGTTCGACCCGAACTGGCTTCTCAGTCGGCAAAAAGATGGAGGAATAATCAATGGTAGTAAATGATCGTCCACTCCTTAGCGGCTGCTCGCGGTCAGTTTCTAGTCAGAAATAATGAGTTTGATTAGGAACCCTAATTGTTCTCCTGCTTGACGGCTTTACGCCCTAGTAGTATGCATCCAGTGCAAAAAACGACAAAGAATTCCATACTACATCGGTCGTCGCTCAGGACAATTAGGACCGCGTTGCCTATTGCATCGAGCAAGTGAGTAGTGATAAATGGGCTACTGCTCAGATATCCCAACCTTTGTTTAATTCTGTCCACAATACCCAACTCTTATCCTTAGACCGTTGTTTAGACTTGCAACAGCCCCTCAAACAAATTGGTTATCGCTCGCCAAAGGCTGTTGACAAAATTTCGATCAATACTCTTCCGTCTAAGGAGTATTGATCAGAGATTTATATTGCTCCAGGTCCTCGAGCTGCGTTACGTCCACCGTCGACCAACGATCGTAGTTTTTTGACCTAAAAGGAGCATTCATCTTAGAAGGGCGCAAAGAACCAGAAGTATGTTAACTTACTGGGGTCACAGCACTCACATACCTCTGGTCTAGTGATGTTCTATAACAAATTACGGAGCTCATTGTTCACAAGTAGCAGCGTTTGTCAAGGGTATTCTGCTTTATCATTGCTGTTCAATTCCGTCGTAGACGAAATACCGGAGAACGCACCGGGTGGTTTCCCAAATTTTGGTACTGAACGGGCAGCTGGAGAAAACGATTCCATTTGGAGTATGCTGACATCGTTTGTCTGCTTGCATGCATATTGCTCCGTTCGATATGATTTTACATCTTCAAAGTGAAACGTGACACTGCAAGACTGAATGTTTACCAGTACTGTTCTGAAACTAGATGGTCAGGAATTGGTCGAAGTTGACTACTCATACTTGAATAGTTGCATGACCAACGACGATAGTTCAGAAAATAAAATAACCGCAAGTAGTTTCAAGGCTCGAGCAGCGTAAACAGGACTGAAACACCTTAGGCCTAGATGCGACGTTTTACTGAAGTTGAAAGGCCGTATTTATTGTGCTATCGTTCTTTCAGTTCTGCTTTATGGTTGAGACCTGGAATTTCCGAGATATCCATCGATCACAGATTTTTGACTATCGATGCTCGACGTAAGTCGAATGGAGTGGATGGGTTAGTAATCAACAGGTAAGCCACCGTATGTTTGGGAGGTTACTAGAGAAAAATTGCTAACTGAGAGAAGTAGGTCTCGCTGATTGGGGCATGTATTGTGCATATTTAGCTGCCGATTGCCGCACCGCGCCTCATTTTCTGTAGCCAATCCGGGCTGAAGGAACCCATGTGGAACTAAACAGATGACGCAAAGACTATGCCTGGAAAAGCATATAAAGCAATTAGGTGGAGTAGGTTTCTCTTGTCTTCCAGGCTTGGATTCAGAAGTCCGTAACTGGTTTGTTGATTACCCTGAAGGACATGCAATGAACCGACAGAAGTAGCGTTCTTGTTGTCGTTTTTTATCATGCCAGAATGCCTGAAAGTGATTACATATATTATATTATATATCTTATACTAATGCATGTACTACACAGATTCACTTTCCCTCCTCCTCCCTTAAAACAGATCCATTTAATGTTCATCCAACGTATTCTTGCATTGTGAGCTTGATATCTATCCATGAAGTTAGCTTCACTGTACTTCTATGTCAGGTGATGCTGGAGACCTCAACATGCGTAACATTTAAGAAACCGAAAACCATTCCGTATCATCCCGCTGAAGCGGTGATCATCACAAAAACTAATCTCAACTGATTAGATTCCCTTAAATGATTTCCTCGTCACCTTGATGAATGTGCGCATATTCATTATCTCTCCCTTATATTCAACACCTCCCAGTGTCCCACGGCTTTCTTTTGATATCAGACCGCCGTGTCCGTTCACCCAAACCCCTCTAGCTCATACGCTACCCTACTTCCTAGACCCAGCTTCTGGATTTATGATGGTACAGGCTGTTGTCTTGGTCTGCCCAGTTTTTGTAGCGTTTTATTGTCGATGTTCCTACCTCAGTCTCCAATACATTTGATGCAAAGTCACGTCAAAGTCAAGAGTGCACTTTGTTCATCCAATGTGGACAAAATTTTCAGTGAAAAGAATGTTATCGCTTTTACTTTGGCAATGCACGCTATTAAAAATGAGCTTTGAGATACGACAAATAGTTACTGAGATGATAATGAATCGGACACCGAGAACGCGTTAAAAAAATAAGGAAAATGTCAACGTGGAAAGTTACACTAGACTGTGTATAAGTTCGTTTGATATTCGCTCCCTAGAGATCAACAAACGTGAAAGGTAAGGTACAATGGAGTTGTGAAAAGCAGTGGTACGAGCATATAAAGGTTTAAATTTACTGCCAGTGACAGAAGTTGAAATGGAGCTAGATAGAGCTGTGTGTAAGGGATGTGACGCATCGAACAAGATGGAGTCAGACAGACGGTCACACGCATTCAGGTGTTGGTTGACAATGGAATCAACCAGCTCCTCACAAGATACAGCTCCATATCTGGAGATGCTTTTCAGAGAGCATCTCATTAATATGAAATCCTTAGACAGTAGACCGGGAAAGATAACGGCAGAGCAGCAGGTCCAATGGCATAAAACGCATGAGAAAATAAATTTGGAGATGATGTACAATGGCACCCTTAGATGCCGAAGGCGTAAAATAGAAAAGGTCAACTTTCTGACTTTAAGAAATGTTTGTTCTACGTGATAGAACCACTTGAGGTCAGCAGACACGAAACATTCAAGATATTTGAAGTGTTTTGACCTTTCAACTTTTAACTCATTGATCAAGATATTGAAAACAGATGATCCACGAAGAGTTAATGGCTTATGGTCAATGGAAAACAAAACCTCAATGCATTTATTGGGGTTTAAAGAAAGGTTACCATCATCGGACCATTCAGAAATGGAACTTATGGCTGATTGAAGGGGGTTAGTTGAAGGGTTGTTGTTGTGAAATGCACCACCAACTATTATATCATCAGCATATTTAAAAGTGAAAACATTTGGGGTGACCGGCAAATTTTGAATATAAAAAGAGAACAGAAAAGGGGATAAAATTGCTCCCTGCACTACACCCTGGTTTACAGTATCAGTAGAAGACCTAATACCATTGAGACAAGTGAATTGACGTCGGTCGGTAAAATAGTAATGCATTCAATTCAAAAGATGTGACGGGAGATAATGTTGCCATAACAGTGACAATGGGATGTTTCTGTCGGCAGATTTAAACGCGTTTGTGTAATCCAAGAAACAAACGTGAACAATTTTGTGTTTTTGGTCTATAGTGGATAAAATAGGATGTACAATACAAGCAACCGCATATAAAGTAGAGCGACGCATACAATAAACAAACTGATTGGAATCACGAAAATCAAGATTAGAGGATAAGTGCTTAATAATAATACGCTCAAAAGTCTTAATACTGAAGATGAGGCAATAGGCTGAAACTGACCCTTTTCTTTCTTAGGTACTGGAGTGACGCGCACATCACGCGTTCATTAGTATGTTCATGTGTTCATTAGTCTTCCTTCTGACAGACATGTATGAAAGATGAATGAAACGGTTTTTGCTAGGTGGTTTGCACATGTTTTAAGGACCACTGAGGATAACCCATCAAGACCAGCGGATTTATTTCCATTGACAGCATTGCTTGCTTTATTGTGACAGATACAGGAAGGTGGAAATCAAGTGACGTTGTGTTTGGACTCGATAAAGCTCGCACGTTTTTCACTGAAGCAAATGATTTGTTGAGCTCATTGATATCACATGAGACTGTAGTAGGTAAAGCTGAACGATCACAGAGCAATTTCAGTCCGCTTTAAAGCTGACGGCAGGATTTATCTTCTAGCACGGTGTCAGAATACAATTGATTGAGATGTGCTATCTCGCTTCTAATATGAAAGTTGACAGATTTGACCGTCAGTTTATCTCTCGAGTGATACGCCCTTTCTTTTAGCCTTCCTAACCATTTCAGTCTATCGGAGATGAATCGGT